ACTGATTGCACGTGTACTGACCACCGATTTCACTGATTGCACGTGTACTGACCACCGATTTCACTGATTGCACGTGTACTGACCACCGATTTCACGGCCCCGTCCGTTCCATTCCATGGGAACAGGGCCTAAGGATGTGCAGCCTCTTCTCCCCTTACCTAAGCCCTCTGCTCTTCCCTAGCCTCACTTACACTGAGTGAAGATGTGTTTTTTCAGGCCGCTGAGACGGCTTAATGGATAAAAGCACTTGACACCAAGCCTGAGGACCCAAGTTCGATCCACGTGGTGGAAAAAGGAGCTGACTCTGCTCTGGCCACCAAAAGTGCACCATGGCATGCGTGTCCACAATGATACGCAATAAATAAATGAAATACTTTAAAAATTGACGTGTTTTTCCAAGGTATTGGCCTGTTGTCTTGCTGGTTTTATAGGCATCTTGAGTAAATATTTTTATAAAGATTTTTAAATTTTATTTTATGTGTGAGTATGTTTACCACATGCATGCAGTGCTCATGAAGGCCAGGAGAGGGCACTAGAGTCTCTGGAATCAGGGTGATGGACAGTTGTGAGCTGCCATGTGGGTTCTGGGAGCTGAACCTGGGTTTTTCGGCAAGAGCACCAAGGACTCTTAGCTGCTGAGCCATCTCTCCACCCGTGAGTAAACTGTTTCCTTGCTCTAACTACTCACCCTAATTCTTTGGGCTCTCTTTGTGAGAGGTAAAGGAACGGACTTGGTTTGGTGACAGGTTCCTTTGCTGTAGTTAAAGTAGTTCACGAAGTAACTTCTGACTTACACTTAGAGTATAAAGTTTTGTTGCCGTATTCTTTTTTGCCTTCAAGACAAGGTTTCTCTGTGTAGCCCTGCCTGTCCTGGAACTCACTCTGTAGACCAGGCTGGCCTTGAACTCAGAGATCCACGTGCCTTTGCCTCCCAAGTGCTGGGACTAAAGGCGTGCGCCACCGCACCCAGCTATCTGTTGCCATGTTCTTTATTAGTAGGGGGTATTGATATTTCACACTAAGAAATAATGTTAATGGGAGGGGGGGAGTAACTTTTCCTCACTCTTAAGTTCTTTTAAAAAATCCGTATGTGTATGCTGTGTGTCTGTGTGTATGTACCCCCCCCACACACACACGCACACATGTGTGCCACAGAGCACACATGGCAGTCAGGGGACAACTCCATGTCAGTCCTCACCTTCCATCTCATTTGAGACAGGGTGTTTTGTGTCTTCTGCTTCTGGCGATTCTCTGCCTTTCATTTGTCTGTAGCTCTGGCATTATGGACATGTACTACCATGCCAGGCTTGACGTGGACTCAGGATTCAATCAGGTCTTCACACTTGCATGGCAAAGACAAGCATGTGCATTACCCACTGAGCCATCCGCCCTGGTTCCAGCCTCATAAGTTCTCAGTTGGAAGAGACAGATAAACAAGAGAAAACCCAGCAGGAGTTATTGCTGAGTGCACACCATGTGTGTGGGATTCCTAGGGAGTGAAAAATTCTCAGAGAAGCTCCCGGACAAGGAAGCCGACTTTGGAGACCTAGGGGTGGAAGCTTGTGGACCAGAGGGGAGAGAAGGCCGGTTGCTGAAGCTTTGTGGTATGGCACTCTCTGATGCCCCCTGCAGGCTGATGAGGGGCATAACAGCCTCCTAAGATGGCTCTGGGAGAAAAGGTGTAACTTTGTCATAGGCAAGCGGAGGGCAGAGAGCATGAGGCATCAGCTTTTCGCTCCAAACAATCCTTGTGCCAGGTAGGCATATATTGGGATGGCATATCCTGGTCACCTCCAGTGCCAATTACAGAGTGGCCTGCTTTTTGAAAGTCATTCCTCAGCGTACTTGAAGTTTGATTTCTACAGTTATTTTCAAATTCTTTTATCACTTTTTTTAAAACATTTTATTTATTTTCTCTCTGTGTGTGCATGTGTTCATGTACATGTCAACCTGCTTGTGCATGTCTATGCGCATGTGTGTACCACAGTGTGTGTGTGGAGGAGGAAGTCATTGGCCCCTTCCATGTGGGTCCCAGGGATTAAACACAGACCGTCAAGCATGGTGGCAGGTGCATTTACCTGCTGCTGATTCGTCTCCCGGCCCGTGTGTTCACGTCTCCATGGATGCTGAGGGCTCTCGTGTTTCTTGGCATCGATGCAGCAAGAGCGTGATGTTCTTTGTCAGGCAGGATGGGACCCTCTTGAAGTCCTCAGGAATAAGATGTGATTTTTCAGGTTGCTATGGTGGCACAGGAAGTCGTAGTTCCCTGGGTCGCTCTGTTCCTCGCCTCCCAGGTACCATAGAATGATTCATTCACAGTAACTGTTGGTTACCTCTGTCCCCAACAGAATGGTGGTGCCTGTCACAGCTAGATGCTCAGGCCTGCCTGCTTGACCTTTCACCAGCCACAGCAGCGACGTGACTACGACCTGTTTCTACTGAGTATGTGGGAAAGTGTAGCCGTGAAAGTGAGCCCAGGGTGCCAGAGACGTCACTTAGATGCTAGAGTGCATGAGTCCTAAACACTGCATGAACTGGGTGTGGTGGTGCACACCTGTAATCCAGCGCTCAGGAGGTGGGGGCAAGAGAATCAGGGGTTCAAGGTCACCCTCAGCTACTTAGGGACTTGGAGGCCAGCTTGTGTCACAGGAGACTTGGAAGTTACTTCTGTGCACAGTCTGTAGCTGAAGAGCAGGGGGTTATTGCCCACTCCCTGAGGGTGGGCTTTCTGTATCATTTGTATTAACAATGAGTTTATTTATGTTTATCTTTATTTTGACATGCTTGCATGATTATAGCCCTGGTGTTTGGTTTCAGTTGGTATTCCTGGCATGTGTGCACATGTAGACACATGCATGTGTGTTGAGTGCTTCATTTTTGGTACAAGATATTCCAGCCCGCAGCCACCAGGCGTCACTAATTACCTCCTTGGAGCCTTGGTGCTCACAACTGCCAGGTGAAGGGGTTGACAGTGTTTCTCCTGGAGGGTTTCTGAGTGCCTGCCACACACCAGGGATGATTTTTAGATAGTAACCACACAGTGAGAAAAGCAGACTGTGGTCTCTATGCAAGATTTGAGAAGACGGTCTGTGGTGTCTTAATCTTCAGGGATTTATAAATTAGCAGAGAATGGAGACATTTCAGGTAAACCAGTATGGCTATACCAGCATCCAGGGAGCTAGTGCCCATGGGGCTGTGGGTGGCCATGACAGCAGAGTGGGGGTGCAGAGGAAGGTGTGTTGGCCATCACCCCCTCTCTCTGTGTCTCCACACGACAGTAGCATCAGGACCAATTCTTCACCTGATCACTTTCAGGGAGTCCATCGGCTGCCTCAGGGCACAGCGTCTGATCTGCCCTCAGTGGCCAAGCCTGATGTGGATTCCCTTCTCCCCCCTCCCTCTCCCCACCGCCTCTCCTTCTAGCCTGTATACTGTTTGTTTTTGAAAACTGCTGGAAAGGCAGCTCAGAGGCTAAGGGTCTTCTTGTTCTTCCAGAGGACACAAGTTTGGCTCCCATCACCCATGGTGGGCAGCTCACAACTGCCTAAAACTCTAGCTCCAGGGGATCCAACCCCCAGGCCTCTGCAGTCACCTGTGGTCATGTGTATATACCCTCCCCTATACCCATAATTAACATTAATAAAAATAAATCTTGAGAAAAATAATGATTTATTTTTATGAGACAGGATCTCATGTAGCCCAGGCTAGACTCAAACTTTTCTGTGTAGCCAAAGATGACCTTGAACTTCTAATCCCCCTGCCCCAACTTCCCCAAGTACTAGGACTATAGACGTGTATCACCATGCCCAGTTTATGCAGTGCTGGGATGGAAACCCAGGGCCTCATGTATGCAACATGTGTGTTTGTGTGCACATTTAAGTGAGCACACATTTGTGTGGAGGCCTGAGGTCAATGTCCAGTGTCTTCCCTTGGTCCCCCAGGGCCAGGGGTGCAGAAGTATACCACTCTTCTCTGACATTTTCTGTGGGCTCTGGGGATCCAAATCCAGATCCTCATGCTGTGGAGCAGCCACTTTTTCTGACTGAGCCTTCTCACCGTTCCCAGGAATCATTCTTTCAATAGTTCCGCTGAATTCGCAGTTCAGTGGCTACCAGCTCAGCATCTCAGGGATGGTTTCCTTATGGTAGATGGCCCCTGGATTTTGATGCTGCATTAGCTTCATTTTGTCTAATTTTTAAAATTAGCTTAGTCTGTAGTTGGAGATGTAGCTCAGTTGGGAGTGTGCCTGCCTGGCATGCATAAAGCCCTGAGTTCCATACCAGCACCATGTAAACCAGGCATGGTAACACACCTGTAATCCCAGCACTCAGAAGGTGGAGGCAGGAGAATCAGAAGTTCAAGATCATTATTGGCTACATGTGGAGTTCAAGGACACCCTGGGGCTACATGAGACTCTGTTTAAGGAAAGGAAAAAGGGGAAAGAATCTGGCCACAGCTGAAAGACTCAGTATCCTATTGAATATTTTGTAATGAGAAATCATCATTCTCTCTTGCAGATGTCCCTTTGAGGACCAGCCTGCCACCACCACTCAGAAATTACAAATATGGTAACCACTTTTTCTTACTATTTAAAAAGATATATAACTGCATTATTTTTGTTGGCATGAATTCAAATGTGGTGTTCAAAAGTTAATTTACTATCAATTAAAGTCACTTTGGAGGGGCAAGAGGCATAGCTTAGTGAAGAATGTGTGCTTAGAATGGGCAAGACCCTGGTTCGATCCCAGCACTAATATATGTGTATGATACAAGTATAAACTACGTATACTCGTGGACTATTATGCATGTATGAGCCATTATTATTTTTATATCATTGATGTTTGCTTAGCATATGAATCAGAGATGCTTTTGAGGGTCTTTGGCAATATGAATACATATCATACACACACACACACACACACACACACACACACACACACACATACATTAGTATGGAAGTTTGCTAAGGAGTACAGGAGTCTAACGTGCTGTGAAAGTCAATTGTAATTGTGTAGGAAAATAGCATGCTTGTGAGGAATGGCTTGCTTGGCAAAACTCTTTGTAAATGAGGTTTCTTTGCCAGGTAATCAAAGAAGAAAAAAAAAATGGCAGGGACCAAAAATGAAAAGAAGTCTTTAGGGTCATGGATGTGACTCTATCAGGTTTTACAGTTGCAGGAAGCCCTGGGTTTCATCCCTGACCCAAATAAAACTGAGTGTGCTGGTGCATACTTGTGATCCAGTCAGTGTGCTGGTGCACACTTGTGATCCAATGTGCTGGTGCACACCTGTAATCAAGCAGGGAGGTGAGATAGGAGAATCTGGAGTTGAAGGTCATTCTCAGCTACAAATGGAGTTCAAGGCCAACCTGGGATGCATCTCTATCTCAAAAGAAGTGGTTTAGCATTTTAAATGCCAATAACTTGAACATGCTCATTTTATATGCTGCAATTAGTGACCTAAAAATCCAGTAACAGGAGCTGAGGTGAAGCTCAGTTGTTTGAGTGTTTACCTCGTATGCAGAGAGCCTTCAGTGAGACCCCTACTGCTGCATAAGGTGGGCAGTCCCCTAGCACCTGGGAGCTGGAGACAAGAGGATCCGAAGTTCAAATTCATCCTTAGCTATAAAGCAAGCTGTAAAGGCCAGCCTGGGATACATGAGACCCCATCGTATAGATAGATAGACAGATAGACAGATAGATAGATGAGACCCATTGTATAGATAGATAGATGATAGATAGATAGATAAGATTAAATAGGTAGGTAGATAGATAGATAGATAGATAGATAGATAGATAGATAGATAGATAGATAGATAGATAGGTAGGTAGGTAGGTAGGTAGATAGATAGATAGATAGATAGATAGATATGTAGATAGATAGGTAGGTAGATAGATAGATAGATAGATAGATAGATAGATAGATAGATAGATAGATAGATAAGACTGGTGGGATGGTTCAGTAGATAAAAGCACCTGCTGCCAATCCTGACAACCCGAGTTCAATCTCTGGACCCACAAATAATGGAAAGAAAAAGAAAGAACTCAAATTCACAAGTTGTTCTCTACCTTGGCACACATGCACAAACAAACACACAAAAGAAATAAAGTACAATAAAAAGTAAAAATACTGTAATAAAGCCAGAGGCTATGTGTCATTATTTGTTATAAAGACCATCTAGCCCCTCATCCTCAGTGGAGTGGTACTGAGCAAACTTGAATTTGAGAGCCCTGCCTGAAAGTGACAATGCATCCAATAAATATTTCTGCTAATTAGGACAGACATTTGAAAGTGTAAATTTTTTATTACCTTAAGTCATTTTCCAGAGAGGCTTTTCATTCCGTTCCCGTCTGATAGGGCAATCAATGACCTACAGTCTTTCTAAATCACAATCTACGTGGGCCTGCATTTTAATACTACAGTCTAATTGTGAGGTTGCAGAGGCGGTCAGGCAGGAGGCAGAGGCACTGAGTGGAAAGTACTTTGATTCAGGAGACCTCAAGCATTTACACACTCAGTATTGAAGCAGAAAAGGAATCAAAAGCATGATTGAGGGAAATATGAGACTTCTCCATTGTGGCTTTCACAGCTTTTAAGGAGAATGCCATGAATAGAATCTCAAATCTTAAGCTTGAATCCACCTGCAAATTACATATAGTTTCCCTTTTTGCATATTGTCTGTGTGTGAGTATGTGTGTGTGTGTGTGTGTGTGTGTGTGTGTGTGTGTGTGTGAGAGAGAGAGAGAGAGAGAGAGAGAGAGAGAGAGAGAGAGAGAAGGCAAATGTGTGCAATGTCAGCTCTCTTAAAAGATAACTTAAAACAATGAAAGCAGATCTGGGGAGCTATCGGTGGCTCATTTGGCTAAGTGCTTCCTGGACAAGAATAAGGACCTAAATTCAATCCCCGAACCCTTATCAACATGCTGGGCACAATGGCACATGTGTGTAACCCCGGAGCCGGGGAGGTGGAGTCGGGTGTGTTCTTGGGGCCTGCTGGCCAGAGCAGCCTAATGTGACCAGTGAGCTCTAGGCCTGTGAGAAATTCTGTCTCAAAAATAAGTAAGCAAATAAATAACAGGGTGAGTGGCTCCCGAGGAAGGACAGTCGAAGTTATCCTCTGGTCTCCTCTCTCTCTCTCTCTCTCTCTCTCTCTCTCTCTCTCTCTCTCTCTCTCTCTCTCTCTCTCTCTCTCTAAAAGAAGATAGTACAACCGTAAGTCTCATTGAGGTAGAGAACACGTCACGGAGATTCCTCTGTCTCATTAACCCCGTGCATCATAGCATTTCTGCATATTCAGATGAGCAGACAGGAGCCTAGGAAGGAATTACAGAGGCACTGGGCCCCGACAGGTGTAGAGACGCTCTTTGGCTGGGTCTGGCTGAGGAACAGTCCACTGCTTTGTCTCGCTTAGGAAAGGCTTGGTGCCAGCTGTCACCTGCCATGGTCACCTGGTACTTGTCTGGCTTGTGGCAATGGAACAGCGCACCGAGTGTGAAGTGGGGGGCCAGCGGCAGGTTCACTCCTGCTGGTCATTGGTTCTGTGCTGTTGGGCCTGCTCTTACAGCTGCAGTGATTCCTGAGGCTCTCCCCCTATATAATCAGGGTCTACAGCTGTCGAATCAGCTATTTGTCCCGGGGGTTCAGCTACCATGTGTTTGGACACACAGAAATCCTGACTTCTGTACACTCTGCTAAGCCTTGTGTGTGAGTCTTTAAATTTTATTTATTGTTTGTTTGTTTTGAGACCAAGTCTCTCTATGTAGCCCAGGCTGACCTGGAATTCTCTATGTAGCCCAGGCTGACCTGGAACTCTCTTTGTAGACCAGGCTGGCCTCAAACTCACAGAGATCTGCATGTCTCTGCTTACTGAAATCTGGGATGAAAGGTGTGTGTTTTTGATGTAGTATGAAATTTAACAATGCATGGGCTAACATGTTAAATACTCCACAAATACACAATAGTATTTTTTTTTTTTTACTTTAAACATTTAGAACTCCATTTTCTTTGTGGTAGTGATTATGTGTATGAGTGTCTCTGTGTGTGTGTGTGTGTGTGTGTGTGTGTGTACCATGTATATACTGTGTCCACAGAAGCTGTGACAGATCCCCCATAACTGGAGTTACTAACAGTCGTGAGCCATCCCTTGTGTGCTGGGAACCAAACCTGGGTCCTCTCCAAGAGCAGCAAGTGCTCTTACCTGCTGAGCCACTTTTACAGACCCTATTTGGATATAATTTTTAAAGATTTATCTTTATTTGCGTATGTGTCTCTGTGGGTGGATTCTATGTGTGTGTGTTCCTGTGAAGGCCAGGGGAGAGTATCGGATCTCCTGAAGTAAAGTCTCAGGTGATGATGGGCCACCCAGCATGAGTTCCTAGTCCTCCGAAGGGCAGCACCCACTCTTACCCTCAGGCCATCTCCCTCCCTAGCCCTGGGATGACATATTTATGAAGTTGGCATTTTTCAAGGACTTTTTATTAAAGAAAGATGCTTTTGTTAATAAAGTGTGTTGGGGGAACTTTTTTAAGAAGTCAAAGTAAGCATGCCTGCAATGCCAGCACTTGGGGAGTTAGAAGCTGGAGGACCAGGAGTTCAAGCCTAGCCTTGGCTGCACAGCAAGTTCAAAACCAGCCTGGGCAACTTGAGACCCTGTTTCAAACAAACAAACAAAAATCAAACCCAGGCAAAAACAACAACCAAACAAACCACCCCAAAGTCAGAGTGACTGAGGACATCACTGTAGAGGAAGTGACATTTTTCTTTACTTTCTTTGGTTTTGCCAATTTCTGTTGAAGAGAAAAATCTGGGTGAAAATTTCTGTTCACACCATTTTGCCCTGCTAAGAAAATATAGCTTCCTCTATTGTGGTTTGCTGAGCCTGCTGGAGCGTTATTTCCCATTAGGGTCTGGTTCCCATTAGGGGAGGTTCCTCAGCAGTTAGAGAATGTGTTGCTTTTGCAGAGGACCCAGGTTTGATTCCCAGCACAGATGTGTCTGCTCAGCTATCCTCAACTACAGTTCCGTGGGGATCGAATGCCATCTTCTGACTTTTGATGGCACCAGGCACTTGCATGGTACATATACAGCCTCTCATGCACACATAATAGAAAACAAATCTAAAATATGCATTTGCATTAAACAGTAGCTCATTTGGTAAAGCACTTGCTTTGCACATATAAGGACCTTCGTTTGATGCCAGGCACCCACGTAAAAGCCCAGCCTGGTGGTGGGCTCTGGTGATGCCAACACTGAGGAGGTGGGGATCAGCAGGTTCCTGGAGTCTGCTGGTTAGTCAGCCTTGCTTACATGGAGAGCTGCAGGGCAGACCGGGGAGGGCTGGAGAGATGGCTCGGCAGTTAAGAGTGTGCACCGCTCTTGAAAAGGATCTGAGTTCAGTTCCAAGCAACTGGTCCTAGTGTCTTACAATCGCCTGTAATTCCAGCTCCAGGTCAGTGTCCTCTTCTGGCCTGTGTGAGCACGCCACACATATGATTTGTGTGTATGAGCATGAGCATACACACACACACACACACACACACACACACACACACACACACACACACAAATCTTAAAAAAAAAAAAAAGACAAGGTGGATATCACCTGGAGAACAAAACCCAAGGTTCATTGCTGGCTTCCACATAAAGGCACATGTACATGTACTTGTACATGAACCCACATACAATCTTTAAAAAATCTTTTTAACAAAATATATAGGTCATGGATAATGCCCATAAGTTCAGAATACAATTTTGCAGGTGGAGTCTACAGACCCCAAGCTTCTTTACTTAAAATAAAGTACTGTTGGTATCCCCCTTGTCTCAAATACTAGATGGACATGGATTTTTAGTGACGAAAAAGAATGCAGTGGAAGACTCAGAATTGTAGATAATCTAAAAGTCACGTTTGCTTCTTTTTCTGGGTCTATTGTGAAATTTTTTTTTGGCATTTGGGGCATGTTTACATTCCTGATGACGCTCATATTTTACTTAGGCTATATTTATTTTTATTCCTTAAGAGTCTGGGTTTAGCCGGGCGGTGGTGGCGCACGCCTTTAATCCCAGCACTCGGGAGGCAGAGGCAGGCGGGTCTCTGTGAGTTCGAGGCCAGCCTGGGCTACCAAGTGAGTTCCAGGAAAGGCCCAAAGCTACACAGAGAAATCCTGTCTTGAAAAACCAAAAAAAAAAAAAAAAAAAAAAGAGTCTGGGTTTAAGTTAGGTGTGGTGGCACACACCTTTAATCCCAGCACTCAGGTCTCTGTGAGTTGGAGGCTACCCTGGTCTACATAGTGTATTCCAGGGTAGCCAGAGCTAGCTCAAAAAACAAGAGTTATAGGCGAGCTGGCTCAGCGAGTAAAGGCACTTATTCCTCACCTTGTCAACTCAGTCTCATCACCAGGGCCCATGTGGTGGGAGGAGAGAACCCCAACCCAACACACACACACACACACACTAAAGAAATAGTTTAAGAATCTATAGTTATGGTCCTAGGGTGCTGAAATAGTGTTAAAATTGCAATAATAAAGAAGATTGTGGGCTGGAGAGATGGCTCAGCAGTTCAGATCACTGGCTGCTTTTCCAGAGGACCTGGGTTCAAATTCCCAGCACCCATGTACTAGCTCACAACTGTCTGTTACTCCAGTTCCAGGGGATCTGGCATGCTCACACAGACATACATGCATGCAAAACTCTAATGCACATAAAAATAACTAAAAAAAAAAAAAAAGATTGCAATAGATAATTGAAAGTTGATTCTTCTTTCTCTCTTGTGTGTTTATGTGTGTATGTATTTGTATGTGTACATATGTGGGGGGGAGTGTACATATATGCAAGTGTGTGTTGACATCTGGTATCTTCCTCTAGCACTATCCACCTTATTTATTTTGAGACAGGGTCTCTCGCTGAACCTGGAGCTCACTTACTCAGCTGGACTTGGCCAGCCAATGAGCTCCAGGGGTCTGTTAGTCTCCACCTCCCCAGGGCTGGGATCACAGGTGTGTGCCATTAAACCTGGCTTTTTACGTGGGTTCTGGGGATGGACCTCAGGCCTTCCTGCTTGGACAGCTAGTACTTTACTGACTGATCCCTCTCCCCAATCTGACTGTTGGAGATATTGAGTACTTCACAGTGTATGAGTGTGGTGGTTTAAAAGAAAATGGCTCCAAAGGGTGGCGCTGTTAGGAGGTGTGGCCTTGATGGAAGAAGTATGTATGTAGGATGGCCTTTGAGGCTTCCTATGCTTGGAATACCACCCAGTGAGTCAGCTGACTTCCTGTTGCCTGCAAGAAAGATTCTCAGCACCATGTCTGTCTGCATGCCACCATGCTCCCCACCATAATGATAATGGATAGAACCTCTGAACTGTAAGCAAGCCACCCCAATGAACTGTTTTCATTTATAAGAGTTGCCGTGGTCATGGTGTCTCTTCATAGCAATAAAACCCTAACTAAGACAATGAGTGTTTACTCACATGTATATATTCACCATGTCCAAGCCTGGTGCTTGAGGAAGACAGAAGAGCCACAAGTGCCCTTACACAGTGCCATTCTTCACTGGATGACAGACCCTATGATGACCTAGCTACCCTGAAGTATGCTCAAAAGACCCTGCTTTTCATACAGATTCTTTTTTACAATGTAACCATAGAACAGAATTTAGTGCTACAGATCCTTTATTATAGTGTAACCAGTAGAGTGGGGTTGGGTGTGGCAGATCCTTTATTACAGTGTAGCCAGTAGAGTGGGAATGAGTGTTGCAGATCCTTTATTACAGTGTAGCCAGTAGAGTGGGATTGAGTGTCACAGATCCTTTATTACAGTGTAGCCAGTAGAGTGGGACTTAGTGTACTGTTGAGCTTTTTCAGATAGAACTACACACTAATCATAATACAGTAATTAAATGGTTTAGAAAATGAAGCAGAGAACCAGAAACTTTTAGAATTCAAGTATGCAGAATGCCTGTGTCTGCTGTATAACTAGGAGCTGGTTATCTTAGAGTTGGGGGGGTTCTGTAAAATGTTTGTAAATGCAAGAGTTTATATGGGTTGTGGTTCCAGATGGAGAGTCCATAATGGCGGTGGCGGAGGCATGGCAGCAGGGCCTGATCAGGAAGCTCAGAGTTCACATCTTCAACCATGCAGATAGTGGAGAATTCAGGGTTCAAGTTTCACCTGTGTAGAGAGATAGTGTGTGGCAAAAATGCAGGATGGCCTGGTTTCAGTGCCAGCAGTTACGGAATGGAGTGGGTTCGAATGAAGCAGGCGCAGTGGGTAAAATGCTTATCTCACAAGCAGAGCTGTTTGCGTTTGACTCCCAGCACCCACATAATAAGCTGGATGTGGTGGTGCACGCCCGAAATGCTAATCCTGCCAGGGCAGAGACAGGAAGATCCCTGGGACTCACTGGCCAGCCAGTTGAGCAGAATATGTGAATTCCATGTTCTGTAGGGTAAAAAGGGCTGAGGAGAAACACCTTGATCCTGACTTGACCTCAGGGCCAGAGCTTGAAATCCCACCAATCCCTGAGGTCCCTGAGCCTGGAATCCCACCAATCTCTGAGCACAGAATCCTTGCACCAGCCCTGAGCTTGCCCCAGAATTAGGCTACAAAACCCCACCAATCCCAAGCCCCCCAGGAAAGTCCCCCCCAAACCCTATATAATCTCTGTACTTGGTTCTGTTTGCGGCTCCTGCTCACCCTAGAGGCAGCCACCCTCCTGGATTTTTCCTTCCCAGTAAATCTCGAAAGAGGTTTGTTGAGCAGTGTGACACTTTTCCTGGAGAGAAGCCTGGCTGTATTGGAAATGTATGTAGAAAGTTATTAACTTTCTCCTGAGCTGGAGTGGAGCAGAATTCTAACCCTTTCCCGCTAGCCAAGCCCAGCTGTATCACTTCTCTGGACCTGAGCAGAGCTGTAACAACTTCGCCAGGGAAACCTCCCCTGCCGGAGCAGGGCTGTTACACTGTTTTGGGAAAGAAAACCTTTCCCTGGGGCAGAGCTGTAAGCTGCAAAGTGACATGGTGGTGTTCCTGGGCTGCCTCCTGCCAGGATACCTTTCCATCTGAGTTCCAACGCTTACAGGTTCAGTGAAAGACTGTCTCTAAATGCTGGGTGGAGAGCAATAGGGGAAGATACCTGACATTAACCTCAGGCCTCCTTGTGCATATACATGTAACATGCATACTATGCACAAACATGTACATGCACCCATACACACATGCATACACCTGTGCACACATACAGACGTACATACATGCATGTACACATATATGCATGTACAGGCACACACATCTATGCACCCATACACATACATAAACACCACGCACACACATAAATACACACAAAAAGAATAACAGATATTGTGTCTTTTGGGCATTGGTGTGTTCACATGACCACTGAGCCTAGATAATGTTTGAATTCTGAAGGCCTTGTAACTTCCCCCAAGGGATTAGTGATTTTTTAAAGCCACTTTTCTTCACTGTGTCCCACCATGCAGTCTTGGCCAGAACTTGCCCTGTAGACCAGGCTGGCCTGAAACTCATAGAGATCCGCCTGCCTCTGTCTCCTGAGTGCAGGGATTAAAGATGTGTACTACCATGCCTGCCTGTCACTGTGTCTTAATTTAAGATTTATATGTGTGTGTTTTGTTTTTTGTTTTTGAGACAGGGTTTCTCTCTTTGCGCCTTTCCAGGATCTCACTCTGTAGACCAGGCTGGCCTCGAACTCACAAAGATCCGCCTGCCTCTGCCTCCCAAGTGCATATGTGGGTTTTTTTAATTGTTCCTTCTTGGCTTTAAGCAGCTCTAGAAGATAAAACAGAGTTGTGTTTGCTGTTGAGACGTCCAGTTCTGCTGCCCCATGGTTACATGTCAAAGCCTAAGCTCTGAACCCACACGAACATGCCTGACCCACAGGCCTCATGAACCCAGTACATAAGTGACACTAACTTAAAAACTTGTAAAACTTTCTGGGATTTGTTTTTGGCAATTCCGTGGTTCCTGATTATGAACTTATAGATGACAATTTTGTATCACTCAGTGTCAAAAGGTTGTGCACTTACCAATTTCAAATGTCTGTGTGTCTCTCCCTCCCTCTTCCTCTTCCTCCCTCTGGGTTCCTCTGTCTTCCCTTCCCTCCTCTCGGGTTTCTCCCTGGGGTCTCTCCTCGCTCCTGCTGGGACCTCCCTCTGCCGGGCGAGTGTCCACCACGGAGCCCACTTCTGCGTGCTGCACTTTGAATGGTTTGCTAAAGTGCGTTTTCTCTTATAGTAGGGCAGATTTTAAATAGGTTTGTTTGTAAAGAAAGGGGTTCCGTGTTTCCAGTTTCTCATCTAATAATTACAACAGAGGTTTTCGACAAATCTGTGTGAACCAAGAACTCGTTTTCTTTTTCTTTCAGATACACTAAAGATTCTTCATCAAGCTCACAAAGCAAAGGTGTGTCTGTGGGCGGGGTTTCTGGTGGGTGGGGTTTCTGGTGGGTGGGGTTTCTGGACACCAGCTTCACCAGTGTTGTTGGAATGGGGAGTATGCAAATGGAGGTGTGTGTCTGAAATCTCCTACTCTAGGAATTAGGTTTTGGAGGAATGCTCTCTACAGCCTTCCTTTCCCATTAAAAGGAAAGAAAAATAGGGGCTGGGGGATGACCCAGTCAGTAGTGTTTACCTTACAGGCGTGGGGACCTGAGTTTGGTTCCCCAGCACCCAGGTGAAAGTCAGATGCAGTGGTGCACAGCTGTAATCCCAGCCCCGGGAACCGGGAGACAGGGGAGTCAGCTGAGCCAGGTCAGCCTAGCTGAACTGGTGAGCTCCAGGTTCAGGAGACACTGTCTCAGAGACTAAGCTGAAGCAGCAATTTCGTGTGTGCACTGTGACCTACTATCCGGCAGGCAGCCTGGCCTCCTAATTCTGCACCAGAAACAAAGGCCCAGAAGCAAACACTGGTGCTCTGTGTACAGGTGCAGGCCACAAGAGCCCTGGTGGGTGCTGTCACAGAGGCCCCGCCCACCCCTGCAGGGTGCTGCTTACCTGAGGAGAGCTGTGTGCTTGTGTGTTTGTGCTTTCATTCAGACCTTCTTGAATATTTGTGTGAGGTTTTGATGACGTTGCCACCAAAGGTGTGCCTCTCAGATGGGATGGGAACGTCTTTTCTCTGGGACCTCGGTGACCTTTCATAGACTCCTCATTGGACATGTCAACTCACTCTTACATTAACTGCTCAAGGATAAGGGACACACCTTTGTGTGGGCATGTGTACATCTGTCTGTACGTGTGCATCTACACGTGTGTATGGAGACAGGTGTGAACATGCATGTGAAGACCAGAGGTTCACATGGGATGTCTTCCTTAATTGCTCTCCACTTTTTATTGTGGTTTTTTGAGACAGGGTCTCACTATCTGGGTCCACATGGCCTGGAACTTGATATGTAGACCAGGCTGGCATTGAACTCACTGAGATCTGCCTGCCTGTGCCTGGGGAGTGCTGGGATTTAAGGCGTGCGCCACCAAGCCTGGCTTCCACCTTATCTTTTAGATAGGATCTCTCACCGAGCCCGGGGCTCATGATTTGGCTACACTGGCTGCCTTATCCCCAGGATCGTCCTTTCTCCACATTGCCAACACTGGGATTGCACCACCGTGACCAGCTCTTGAACCCAGGTCCTCACACTTTTGTGGCAAACACTTGACTGACTGGACTACGTCCCAGCCCTGAGGGACCATGTTATTATTCGAGCCTCTTCTTACATCTATCATCGAGTGTAATGCTTAGGTAATAGGGATTTTTGTAATTTTAAAAATCTTGATTGCATTTTCATTAATTTATTTATTTATTACAAGTGTATGTGGGTGAGTGCATGTGTGAATGTCAGAGGGCGACTTTCAGGAGTCTGTTCTTTCCTGCCATGTGGGTTACAAGGATCGAGGTCTTCAGGCCTGGCCTCAGGTGCGTTTCCCCTCTGGGCCATCTCTCTGGCTCTCCCTAACAAGTTTTGAGTGAAGTATTTATCAATGAATTGATTTCATTTTATTTTTGTCTCAAGTCATTGGTGCCGTTGTGAACTCAAGCTTTCAGATAAATGTGTGTCACAGGTGACACAGAGCAAGTGGCTGAGAGCGTCAGCTGGTGTGGGTTAGGGACCTGGTGACAAGTGGCTGAGAGTGTGAGCCGGTGTCAGGTTAGGGACCTAGTGACATTTGCTGCATATGAAAACTTGACAGTGTCTCATGGACCCACACGTGTCTGAGACTCCTTGTGGCACCCGTTCCTTTTATGGACACCAGAATGTTCTAGCACAGTCTGACCACAGGCTTCATCCGTGGAGTGTGTTCATTCTGATTTCTGAACAGTAGAGAAGGCGAGGTATGGTTTTGTTTTATGTTTTATTAGTTACTTTTCTCTTTGCTGTGGTAGGATACCTCACAAAAGAGGCTTGAGAGAGGGAGTTATTTATTTCTTTATCATTTTATATCCTAAAATATATCATAGAGGGGCAAGCATGGCATTTATAATAAGCAGAGCCATGGACGCTGGAGCTCAGTAGCCCCCACCCCATCCCACCCCCATGTATATGTGCCCATGTGTGTGTGCTGTGGCCAGCGGAGGGAGTAGGGTCCTGCTCGGTCACTCTCTGCCACACTCCCCGCAGACAGGCTCTCTCACCTGGAATTAGGCTGGCAGCCAGTGAGGCCCAGCGACTGCTGTCTGCACTCCACATAGTACTGAAGTCACAGGCACCCTCAGCCTTTTGAGGGAGCTGGGGATTTGAACTCAAGTCCTCATGCTTGCACAGAAAACGCTCTTTCTTGGGTGAGCCGTCTCTCCTGCCCTACAGCCATGGTTTTAAGAGAGAAAAACCGTAAGACTTTAGAAGTCGGCCCACGATGCATTTCTGTTGGCACAGCAAAGTTTACAGGCACATCTCTACACGTGTGACCCACACGTGTGTCGCGTACGTCAGTGGTGTCAGGAAGCACCCATGGCCAGGTACAGGTTCTGCAGAGGACAGCTCAGTAGCTAAGGCGTAGGGGCAGGAGACTGCAGTTTTCACTCTCCATGTGCTTGGGAGATTTTGTGTTTAGATTCTGTGTTCTAAAAGAACTTTTTAATGAAGCGTTGAATTTTTTTTTGTGTGTGTGTGTGTGTGAATGTACTCTGGAGTTCAAGACCCTCTGTCTGTACTGAGTGAAGTTCATGATCCATGGAACGTGGCCTCTGGCTTGTGGGGCTTCTGTTTGGCAGTGGAGAGACCTTCTTGTTGAGTCTGTCTCCGATATATTCTAGAAATACGGTGGGCGGGGCTTGGGGAATGATTTCGTCAGTGAAGCGTTCGCCTCACAAGCATGAGGACCAGGGTTGAGGTCCCCAGAACTCACAGAGAAAGGCAGGTGTGCAAGAACCCTCTCCACCACTGCTGTGAGTCTCAGCTGGGGACAGTCTCGTGAGTCCCTGGGGTTTGCCCTAGCTGCAGATGTCTCCTTAATCCCTTAATGGTACACTCTGTCAAGTTATCTCTTTCATTGTTCTCCCTCCCCATCTCTCCCCCATGTTCCCACCTCCCTTCCCCTCTCACCTCTTCCCCTCTATTCCCCCCTCTCAGTTTGCCCAGGAGATCTTAACCCTTTCCCCTTCCTGGGGCGATCCATGTGTCCTCCTCTTTACCTAGCTTCTCTGGGTTGTGGATTATAGCTTGGTAATCCTTTGCTTTGCTTCCAACATTCACTTATGAGTGAGTACATACCATGTTTGTCTTTCTGGGTCTGGGTTATCTCATTCAGGATGATGTTTTTCTAATTCCATCCATTTGCCTACAAATTTCATGATGACATTACTTTTTACCACTGTGTAATACTCCATTGTGTAAATGTACCACATTTTCTTTATCCATTCTTCTGTTGAAGGGCATCTAGGTTGTTTCCAGGTTCTGGCTATTACAAATAATGCTGCTATGAACATGATTGAGCAAATGTCCTTGTGGTGTGGTTGAGCATATTTTGGGTATATGCCCAGGAGTGGTATTGCTGGGTCTTGAAGTAGATAGATTCCCAAATTTTTGAGATACTGCCATACTGACTTCCAGAGTGGCTGTACAAGATTGCATTCCCACCAGCAGGTGGAAGAGTGTTCCCCTTGCTCCACATCCTCTCCAACATAGGCTGTCACCTGTATTTTTTATCTTAGCCACTCTGACAGGCGTAAGATGGTATCTCAGAGTCGTTTTGACTTGCATTTCCCTGCTGGCTAAGGATGTGCACTCAGATTGGTGTCTACCCTAATTGTCATCATAGAACCTACATCCAGTAGCTGATGGAAGCAGACGCAGAGACCCACAGCCAAACACTTGGCCAAGATCCTGGGTTCAGTTGAAGAGAGGGAGGAAGGATTATAAGAGCAAGGGGGGTCAGAATCATGACGGGAAAAACCACAGAAATAGCTGACCCAAGCTAATGGGAGCTCATAGACTGTGGACTGACAGCTGGGGAGCCTGCATAGGCCCGAACTGGGCCCTCTGAATGGGGGTGAAAGTTGCATGGCTTGATGTGTAATGGGACCAGGACTTACCCCGGGTACACAAACTGGCTTTTTCGAGCCCATTCCCTATGGTGCAATGCCTTTCTCAGCCTTGATGCAGGAGGGAGGGCCTTGGTCTGTCCCCAACATGGTATAATAGCCTGTTTTGACCACTCAAGGAGGCCTCACTCTCTATGAGGAGGGGATGGAGGTGGGCTGGGGGTATGTGGGGGGGGGGAGCAGGAGAAGAGGAGGGAGGGGGAACAGGGGTTGGTATGTAAAAGGAAAGAAAATCTTTTTTTTTTAGTAATCAGCCTGGGGAGGCAGAAACAGGCAGCTCCCCAGGGCTTATGCCAGCTAGTCCAGCTAATCAGTGAGTTCTAGGTTCAGTGAAAGACCTTATCTTAGTTAGGGTTTCTATTGCTTTGAAGGGACACCATGACCACAACAACTCTCATAAAGGAAAACATTTAATTGGGTGGCTTACAGTTCAGAGGTTTAGTCCATTGTCATCATGGCGGGACATGGCAGCATGCAGACAGACATGGTGCTGGGGAGGTAACTGAGAGTTCTAGATCTTGCAGGCAACAGGAAGTGAACTGAGATACTGGGTGTGGCTTGAGCATAAATGAGACCTCAAAGCCCGCCCCACAGTGACACACTTCTTCTAACAAGGCAACACCCACTCCAGCAAAGCCACACCTCCTAATAGTGCCATTCCCTTTGGGGAACATTTTCTTTCAAACCACCATAGACCCTGTTGCAAAAAATACAGTGGAGTAGAGATTGAGCAAGCCACCCAACATTGGCTCCTGGCCTCCATTGCACACATACCCATGCATTCTCATATATATAGGAACTGGATTCTGATTGGCAGGTGGTACCATGTGCCCAATCCACAGGAACTTCCAGGTGCTATTTAGGGGAGACAACAACTCCAAATTGTCTCCCGTGACGTCCAACTGGATTTGCAAGTATCTCTGGAGAACAAACATCAGTACCACTCCAAATCACATGGAAATGTGACAGTTAATAAGACACAGGCTGAAATCCTTGTCAGCTTGGGCGAGGTGTTTAGATATGTGCCCATGGGGCCACTGAAGGCCAACTTGCTCCTCTGAGAAGTCACATTGTCAAGAGCGCGTCTTCCATTCCACCTCTGATGAGCCGCACGCCCCAGGCCTACATTTTTGCAGTTCCTCCCGGGTTCTTGTGATGATGACACAGCACAATGACAGCAGACGTAGAGGCCTACTCAGTGCTGAGGGTCCAGACGGGTCATCGGATCATCGCACATCCTCCTCAGTACTAGGGGAAGAAAGGGGAAGCTGCACTCACTTCTCCTTCTGTAGCTGCAAGGTAACTAAAGCTTGGAGAAGTTTGCAGTGTTGAGCACACAGAGCTGGGCACCAAGGGAACATTCCTTGGAACCCTAGTTTGATTCCAAAGCCTCTTTGTAGCACCGTCTACAGTGTAGCTTGCAGTATTAGCACTTAGTAAGTCTACATTCTGCATCTTCTCTGTTATCTCCTTACCATAGTAGAATTTAACATGACTTAGATTATTGCTGAGACTCCATGTAACAGCTGTGTGTGTGTGTGTGTGTGTGTGTGTGGTATAGGTGTGTACACGTGTATATGCTGGGTGCATACATGTGTGCATAGATATGGAAGCCAGAAGTTAGTGTTGGGTGTCTTCCTCTATTATTGTCCACTTTACTTTTTAAAATATTTCTTTGTTGGTTATTTGTGTGTGTCCATGTGGGTGTATGTACGTATAAGTGTGTGTGGAGGGTGCCTGTAGAGTGCAGAAGAGTCTCGGATCCTCTGGAGCTAGAGTTACTGGTGTTGTGAGTGGTGCTGGGATCTAAACTCCAGTCTTCATGATAGAGCAGCAAGCTCTAACCTCCGAGTCATCTCTCCAGTCTCATCCACATTCCTCTTTGAGACAGGGTCTCTCACTGGGTCTGAGACTTGCTGATCGATTGGGCTGGCTTGTCAGTGAGCTCAGGGGTCCTCCTGTCTCCACCTCCCCAACACTGAGATTGCATGGCACAGGGTTCCAAACGCAGCTCCTCGTACTTGCAGGGCGAACACTTTCCTGACTCAGCTGTTTCCCAGCCCCTCCAGGTACCACTCTCAGGTCTTTGGGACGTCTTGGCCCAGTGTCCTGATCAAGTGGGGGTTCTTTCTTTCTAGACAAATGAGCTTGTGTTGGGTTTGGAGGACGACGACACACTCCTGCTGAAGGAGGACAGAACGCTCAAGGACTCAGGAGTAGGTAAGAAGGGCTGGGGTGGATGGAGGGGCACGGGGCTTCCCCGCCTGTGTGCGAGGGCCCCTGGATGAAAGTGTCTGAGAATCCTCCCAAAGTAAAGCCCCTGTGCTGAGAATGCTGTGCGTGCTGATCATTTGACCCAGGGCACTGGAGTTTGCTCTGCACATGTGCAGAATGCAAATAGTTCTTTGCAGGTTTGTTCCGAACTCGGGTGAGGGTCATTGTAAATGATTGACAGGCTGTTAGTACACTGACTGCCGACTGTCATCAGCGCCGTTGGAGAGAAATGGACCTAGTGGAACTAATGTGGAATAATGAAATGAGATGTTGTTTGTACAACGCGCAGTGTAACTTCTGAGAGTCACTCAAGACTCTCAGGGCCAGCCAAGCCGTGGAATTTATAAGCCTGGTGTGTACAGTGGGAAAATGACCTGATTTAGTCTTTCAACCTAGAATGTGCGTTCAGTTCCATTTGAAAGAAATGCTGTGTGGCCATTAGATGTCAGTGTTAGTCTGCTTAGGCCTTCAATATGTGCGTGAATATGAGCAGGAGTTCTAAGCAGAAGGCACTTGCTGCCTGTGACACACCTCCGTGGTTCGAGAGCAAGACAGTGTCCCAGTGCACACTTCCTCCGTCAGTCCCCGTGTACAGTAGGTAAGAGGCATGGACAGTGAGGGTTACACTGTTGCCATTTTGGACAGGTGTTCAGTTGAGCTGCTCTCACCGCATGCCAGGAATCCACTTTTGAAGGATTCACATGGTTTATGTGAATTCCTGACACTGATCTTTCCATGGAAACAGGATTTAAAATAATAGGTCAAGGGGCTGGGGAGATGGCTCCGTGGGTAGGTGAGCTTGCTGTGCAAGCGTGAGGACCTGAACTTGATCCCCAGTACCCCTGTAAAAAAGGGGAGTGTGGCCGTGTAAGTACCTGTAACCTCAGCAGTGTAGGGGTGGAGATGGGAGGGTCTCTTGCGCTTGCTGGCTGCTCCTAGCTACAGGTTCAGTGAGAGACGCTGCCTCAAGGGAATAAGATGGCAAGCAGGACCACTGATGTCCTGTTTTGGCTCTGCACACATCAACTCTTGCATCTGCATGGGCACTTGCACACACAGACACAGTGACAGACACAGACACACACAGAGACACAAATAAATAAATGGTGGGTTATGAAATCATAAAATTGATATCTGTGTTAAGTCTACACAATTTGCTGTAATTAGTGCCTGTTCATATTATGAATGCAGTAGATTTATTGTTATATGAAATTAAAAATCATTTTTTCTGTCTCTGAATTGTGCACAGGAATTGTATTCTCTGATGCTTTTATTATTTTCTGTAACTTCATCCAGGATCAAGTTCCCTGGAAGTAAAATCAAATTTGGGACAATTATAATGGCTTCTAATGGTGGTGCGTGCCTTTAGTCCTGGCACAGGGGAGGCTGAGGCTGGACGGCCATGAGTTTCAGGTCATCCTGGGTTATACAGCAAGTGCAAGACCAATCTAGACTATCTGCTGAGAGCCTGTCTATAAATAAATAAATAATAAATTGATGTTTTTGCTATTTGGAAGAAGTCATCCACCAAATAGGTATTGAATGTTTATTTTGTGCCAGTGAGAAATGATTTTTTAACTTGACACTTGGTATATCAAATGCTGCTTTTATAGCAGGGGGCACTTGTCTAATTGAGACTTCTGGAGCCTGGGGGAAGGCTGGCTTGCTTTAAAAGCCAGCACCAAAATGAACATTATAGACTGGTATTGATGTGGTAGTGGACAAGTAGCTCAGTGAAAAACAGTGTCAAGTTTTTGTTGTGTTGGGTTTGGAGGATGACGACACACTCCTGCCGAAGGAAGACAGAATGCTCAAGGACTCAGGAGATAGACTTTGAGATAATAAAGTTGACATCTTGCAAATAAGCAAAGGAGAAATGAATTAGCCAAAACTATGTGAGTTTCTAGGAAATAAATTTTAAATCTTTAACTCAGTCTCTACTTAAAAAGAAATTCTAGATGAATTAATGTCACAATGTAAAAATAATTTAAAAGTATTTTTTACTTGCTAGGTATTGGGGTACATGCCTTTAATCCTAGCACTTGGGAGGCAGAGGCAAGTGGATCTCTGTGAGTTAGTGACCAGCCTGGTCTACAGAGTGAGTTCCAGGACAGCCAGAGCTACATAGTGAGACCCTGTCTCAAAAAAAAATTTTATACTCTTTTTTTGTATGCATCTATGTATGTGTGTTCATGTGCGAGGGGGTGCAGTGGCATGCACTGTGGTAAGTATATGGAGGTCAGAGGACAACATGTGGAAGTTGGTTCTCTCCTCCCACCATGTGGGTCCCAGGGAATGGAACTTAGGACGTCAGGCTTGGAGCAAATGCTATCTTGTCATCTAATAAAAACGTGAGTTCATGACCTCAGAGGAGAGGGTATAGAGGGGGAAATGTATAATATGATCCTAAAAATGGTAAAGAGACTGTGTTGTCAACTTGACATAAATTAAAGTCATTCAGGAAAACAAGAGCCTCCAGTAAGAAAATGCCCCCAGCAGTGGCCTCTGGGCAAGCCTGCAATACATTTTCTTAATTGATAATTAATGTGGGAGGGCCCAGCTCACCGTGAATGGTGTCACCCCTGGGCTGGTGGTGCTGGTTGCAGACTGAGCAAGCCAGTAAGTAGGACTCCTCCTTGATCTCTGCTTCAGCCCTTACCTCAAGTTCCTGCCCTGCTTGAGTTCCTGACATGACTTCCGTCAATGATGGACTGTGATATGAAACTATAAGCCAAAATAACCTCCTTTCTCCCCAGTTTGCTTATGGTCGTGGTCTTCATCACAGCAGTGTAAACCCTAAATAAGACACAGACCTAAAGGAAAAATAACAAACTATGAATCCGTATGTTGAGTATGTTCAATGACACATAAAAAGTTGCTGGCCTTGTTGCTGGATCCTGATGGCTCACTCAGGGGAGGGGGTGAGAAGGCGTGGCATCAATGATACAGACACTGGGAGTCCATAATGGGGAAAGCCTTATATACCCTCCTCCCAGCACCCAGGCTGTGTGACATTGCATAGCCATCCCTCATTGGCTGGGCACAATCAGGAGCTCTGACAGCGCCTGTTGCTAGACTCTCAGGCGGACTCCAGGTTGGCTCATAAGGAAGTACATTATGTGCATGCCTTGGCAACTGGTTTGAGCCGATTTCCTCGACCCTATGGGCCTGTCCTACTACATAGCCTGACTGAAGAAATCTTCAGGACTTGGAGAGGTGATAGGTAAAGTGTTTACTGAGTTCAAACCCAAGTTTAATCCCTAGTAGTCACATTAAAATAGAAAGAAGGAAGGAAGGGAGGAGGGAGGGAGAGAGGGAGGGAG